TATTTAGTTCTTACACTGAAATTGCTTCCAATGTCGCGGGCATTTAAAGCCTCTCTGTGCCGATAGAAGGGTTAAAATGGAAGGACCTCACAACAAAAAGCCTATATACACCTACTGTGAGCATACTTGCAGTATGCAAACATCACGAAATGTTCTCATTGAGCCAGAAATGTGCTCTGAAGATGACTATTTTGAATTACCCCGTCAGACGTGGTTTTGGCAAAAAATACAAATAAATTATGTTGAGCGAAGTGTCAGAGGGCGCTAAATAGTAGCCCTATGCTACCGCAAATAGTTCCTGGAACGAAAACACTATATTTGTTTCCTGATTGCATATGGAATGTAGATAACATGTGATTTAAACAATTTTCACAATTTCGTACCGAGTAAACATCGAACAATAAAGTATAACATGTGTTATCACAGAAAAGAACTGTTAATGCAGTGCAACGTTCACTCGGCTGTGTACCGGATGTGTAAACACTGTAAACATCCTGTGGTGCTACTTTCGTAACTTTCGTTTAGATTTTATGAAGAAATGTTGTGAAAGTAGCAATACAAATAAGTTGCAGTGAATTTTTGCAACATAGGCGAGCTCACAGTAGGTATATATATATGCATCTAGCTGCGAGGTTTATCCACTTTAAGGTGGAGTAGATTTACGTTTAACACATTCGCTTACCTTCGCTGGACTTCCAGAAGATGTGAACAAAGCACTTGCTCCAGCTATTATCACCAAGTCACTGTGCTCATATAACAAAATAGTTCTGCAAGATCATCGATAGCATATATGAGAAATGACTCATTGTGGATCAAATACTAATGAACATTTATAAACTTAGTAGTGAAAAGACTTGATCGGACAAACACAACATGGATAAATAAATACATTTATTGTATTATCACAACATACAAAAGAATGTGGGATCAGCTCCTATGAAGTCTCAATTTTAAGCTGTTCAGCACATGATATCAGTGGCAGGAGCAACGTAGGAGAAAGAGAACGTTTGCAGGGTGTTTTTTTTACCGAAGTGGGCCACACTGTGTTAATCCATACAGCCATAGAAGGTTAATGAAGCATCCAACTGCAGCATGGCGCACAACTCTGCCCCACTGAAAAAAATGAATAATTTGTATAACAAATTTTGAGTGATCTTGCGCTAAAAAAAATTAGAATCGAGTTTAATATTGATGTCACATGTCGACCAACACATCATATCCAGATTTTCAATGCACTGAAAACATGCATGTAGTGGGAATGTTATAAATTTTCACATATATTACTACTTATATAGTTATTACAGTTTAAACATAAGTCTAGATATTACTTGATTTAATTTTTACAGGATGCACAAGACAGAAATACTTATTCTAGAGCCTAACCTGGTGTTTATTTAGTCGTTGATTTCTTGTGAATGGCTTTTGCAGAAGTATCATACATAATGCTGTGCTAAAAAACACAAGAGAATATATTAAATTTTTCATATATCAAATAAGCACACTGCTTTTTGTTTGTGATGCATCATGTAAAAAACAGCACGCACACACACTCACAGATGCACACAGATATAACCAACTCATTTATCTGTTGACATTCCAATATTATATATGAGAATAGAAAGAATTTCCTCACTCTGTTCTCAAATACCAATGGCAAATATGATAGTTTAGATGAAAATATGTGTGTAAAACAAGAAAACCTACCCTGCCTTGACCAGAAAGAGGAACTCCACCACATGAATAGTTTTCAGCACATCATATGACAAGAAAAGGCCAGCAGAATGGAACAACTTTGTAATAATTAACAGGACGACATACGGGACTGAGCTGTAAAAATGTAATGAACAAGTTGAGCACTGATTCAATTACTACATGTATGTATACAAAAGGCATCATTAGTATAGCACTTATACAGTACACATATGAGATAAACAACGTAGATCCATACACATCATATACACATTCATATACATTATGAAAATTATCCCATTGTCTCTTTTCTTTATTGCCACTTACCGTGAGGAAGGGTATATAACTTGATCAGGCAGCATTTTGATTGACTTCTTTTTGAGTACTAATCTAAAAAAATAAAAAGACCAATTCCATTATTATAAATATTTATGTACTACTAGTCTACTATACCGGTATAAAATTGTTTAATAATTGCACTTATATAAGTTGCTCAAATTCTTCAGTAAAATTGGAATGCCATTGCATGCACATATGTTCAATTTCACTGAGCCATTGAGTACATTGTCATTGAAAAAAATGTAGTTGTTTTAGTCTCACTAACCAGTGTCTGCAGATGCATATTCTACACTCCGATTGGCCACACAGCACACAATACAGGTTAAACGTCACTGGTGCAAGCAGTATGTGAGGGCATCAACACTAGACACACAACGAATCAATGAAACTGCACTAGTGGTAGTGTTACTAATACTACACATTTCATTTGGTTAGGTTTTGACCAAAACTGCAGGGCCTCCTCGGCTGACATGCGCCTAAACAGAGGAATTGCTCCGACCTGTGATTGGAGGATAAAAATATAATTCGTGACGTTTTGTTTCACCGGTCATAGCCGCGCGTGTATTAGCATATGAGCGATACCGCGCGTGCATATTTGCTAATTAATTAGACTAATCGTGCTTCAATAGACTAAAAATTCAGAGAGAGTAATGCTAAGACATGTGTCTATAATAGCTAGAATTTATAGAAATGTAACTCAAATCGTTCGCGCCATATGATAGTTAGTACACGTTTTTACCGGCCATATAGCCGCGCGTATATTATTAGCCTATGAGCGATACCGCGCATGCAGATTTGCTAATTAATTAGACTAATCGCCCGTCAATAGACTCAAAATTCACAGAGATTAAGGCTAAGACATGTGTCTATAATAGCTAGAATTTATAGAAATGTAACTCAAATCATTTGCTCTAACTCATAGCATAATAGCGTATGCGGCGGGAGGGAGTGGGGGTCTACTTTTATCCTCCAATCACAGGTCGGAGCAATTCCTCTGTTTACATGCGTCTAAACAGAGGAATTGCTCCGACCTATGATTGGAGGATAAAAATAGACCCTGCCCACTCCCACCGCATACAATATTATGCTATGACCGGTAGAAACGTGTACTAACTATCATATGGAGCGAACGATTTCAGTTACATTTCTATAAATTCTAGCTATTATATAGACACATGTCTTAGCATTACTCTCTGTGAATTTTTAGTCTATTGAAGCACGATTAGTCTAATTAAATAGCAAATATGCACGCGCGGTATCACTCATAGGCTAATACACGCGCGGCTATGACCGGTCAAACAAAATGTCACGAATTCTATTTTTATCCTCCAATCACAGGTTGGACCTATTCCTCTGTTTCGACGCATGTCTCTGTTTAGACGCATGTCTCGGCTGAGGCTCCTGCCATCAATGCATCAGGAATCATGGCATCACAGCAATGTTTTTAAATATGATTATAATGTAGTTCTCTAATTTAAATTTGATCTTGCTAAACGCATGTTATAACTCTGGATACTTTAATCACCAAGTCTATGACAGCTAGCTGATTAGCCAGGCACCGGAGACGCGACGCGTTACATATTCAATACAGTGTCAGTGAGGCTCATAGGGTCCATGTCCCCCAGGTTACTGCCGGAACGTACCCTGGGTACGATCCGGTATACCGGAACGTACCCTGGTAACTATCTGATATGGTTAGGGTTAGGGTTAGCCGGCGTTAGGGTTAGGGTTAGGGAGTAGGTGTAGGCGACTCCCTAGACTCGTTAGTGGAGTAGGCGAGGTACGGTCCGGCATATTAGATAGTAGATACAATAATGTAACCCAAACACAGGATACGGTTACAACGCGAGCCTATGGTTTTCTGTGGAGGAACCCCTGAGTGAATCACTCAGGTCGGTTTGCTGGTGCGTTTTCAGAGCCTAGAACTTCCAAACTGGGTTTATTCTAAACACGAACCTTTCTCCGCTATCCTGGAACTTACTATGTATCACAATACTCTGTATTAAACTAATATAACCTGTTACAAAAATTCGAAGTGACGAGCGGCGGATATATTGAGCGCCATTTCTGTTGACCTGTGAAGTACGCATTTCCAATGCGCATAGCGATCGGCAAACGCAGCGCCCTCCGATTGGTCGGTGAATCCGCTCTTCAAACCGAAGTACGTCACAGGTCAACAGAAATGGCGCTTAATATATCCACCGCTCGTCACTTCGAATTTTTGTAACAGGTTATATTAGTTTAATACAGAGTATTGTGATACATAGTAAGTTCCAGGATAGCGGAGAAAGGTTCGTGTTTAGAATAAACCCAGTTTGGAAGTTCTAACTTCTAGTCTCTGAAAACGCACCAGCAAACTGCCCTGAGTGATTCACTCAGGGGTTCCTCCACAGAAAACCATAGGCTCGCGTTGTAACCCTATCCTGTGTTTGGGTTACATTATTGTATCTAATTAGATAGTACCAGGGTACGTTCCGGCAGTACCCTGGAAGACATTTTAGACCCTCTCAGCGTCAGTGAGTGTCGTGGCAAACTGAAACTCAGACTGCTTGTTTTTAATGAATTATACCCAGTGCCACAGTCGTATAAACGATCAGTAATTATCACCTTGTGTACAAAAAAGCTTCAGTGCTTCTTTCACAACCAGTTATGAAAGCTCTCCCTTGTCATTATTTGTTGCTACAATTGTAATCCAACTGTAAGTGTAATACACACTACGAATGAAACCGCAGTGGAGGCTGCCATGTTAGTAGTAGAATTTTCCCAGAATCCTCCCCGATATGGCACATTTTGTTTTTGTTTTTAATTACTTATATACGCGTATTTTTTATGTATGTTTTCTTTAAAAAAAAGAATTTACTACGCTAACAGTTTTGAGTTTATGAACTTATTATCATTGCTCATTATTATCAACACTATTTTGACAATAAAACTATCGTGAGCGTATTGTTAATTTTGTGTTGGATAGGGCTGTACAAAAAGCTATGTACCCCTCCCTTAGCTCTAGTACTATAGCCCGCGGCAGCGATCCGCGGGCTATAGTACTAGAGCTACCCCTCCCTGTACACGCCCATGTGTACAGTGTAGCTCTAGTACTATAGCCCGCGTTCGATAAACTGCCGCGGGGCAGCCTTCCTGCGGCAGTTTATCGAACGCGGGCTATAGTACTAGAAGTAGAGCTATCATATGTACAGTGCGTCATTTTATTTTACTTTATCGGAATTTTCTGCGTCTTTTGTATGCAATAATGCATGGCCATGAGTGATCACTTGTCATAACAACGTTGTGGGCTACTCTATTTTGAGTTATTTTGTAAGCGGTAGAAACCCACAGCAGCGTCTTTGTCCGAGGTCGTTATTAGCCTAAGAATTTGTTTTATCGTAGTTTGTAGCATATTTGCCTGTATGATCTACGATTATCTGTGCAATAAACTTTATTTGAATTTGAATTTGATATTTTGAGGTCAGCCAACTATAAATCATGATACGTATCACGTATCACGTACCGTAACTGGCTATGACTGGCGTAAGCCGTACTTTGACCGCAGTCTTTCCGAACTTGCAACACGAAACCGAGACATCCGGGACATTCTAGATTTTCTAGAACCATCGAACCTATCACATGACGAACATGTGCGACGTGTGACGTTTCTCTATTTTTGGCACGCACGTGAGCGAGCCAATCACAGCCGAGGAATTAGTACCGCGTGACGAGGAGTATAAATACGGCAGACGCCGCAGTCATCGCCATAACTCGACAAAGACTGAATCTTATTTCACCGTTACATTACATTGCTGTGCTTCTGCGTTATTGAATTGTAAGTATTACTCGTTTCCTTTGTTTTGACTTCATTTTCGTGAACCAAAATCGGATAGATTTTATGTTTGCAATAAGCTTCGCGCGAAGTTATATAATATAGGTCTTAAGTTATATATATATTGAATATATTCAGGTTTGGTTCGCCCATCGCGTCTGACTTTCTCGGCTGTGGATTTTACGACTCGGCTACTGTACATACTGTTTAGAACAAAGTTGATTTCGTGGAAGCTTTGTTGAATTTTTGCGTGTTTAAGTACTGTGCGCCATTTTAGGGAGTGGTCACAAAATGGACTTATGGAGCTTTGTTGTACGAGATTTGTTGTACGAAATATGTTAGTAACCGTGACCTTCATCTTTCTTCCCGAGTTTCTCGTTGGTTGAAGCTTGAAGCTTGAACATTGGAGCTTGAACATTGAAGCTTTTTCTTCTATGAATGAGAGCCGCCGTATTGATCTGTCTATTTGATCGAGCTTGTCTCTGCCTGTATTCAGTATAGTCTTTTGGACTTTAAAGACTAATATCTATGCGGTTGGGGTTAACGTGGAAAAGTAGATGAGTAAGCTTAGGATCATGTATTAGGCTAAACCGACCAGGCTCTCCAACTGTTACACGGCGGAGGACGTAGTGTTATTAGCGAGATGGGAACTTGTGGCAAGTATTAGGCTAGCTCTAGTACTAAGCCCGCGTGCAGTTGCCGCAGGGCTATAGAACATTTTATGCTAGGTTTCGCAACTGCACCTGTTCCCCAAAGCTTCCACGAAAAATCGGTCACAAAACGCAAAATGATCGGGCTCTTTAACACTACTCTATCTACGTGGACATCTCACCTATCTTTTTGAACACTTTCCACAACTTTACACCATGTATTTATGCATTTATTCCTCAGTCTTGGCACTACTTCCAATTCTGTTTGAAATGATGTGGCATGCGCACGCGTGACATCACCGGATCTGTAGGCAAAACACATGGCAGCTATGATGCAGCCTATTACATTTCGGGTGACGTCACGCATGTACACAACAGCATTTCAAACGGAATTGGAAGTAGTGCTAAGACTTTGAGGAATAAATGCATAAATACATGGTGTAAAGTTGTGGAAAGTGTTCAAAAAGATAGGTAAGATGTCCATGTAGATAGATAAGTGTTAAAAAGCCCGATCATTTTGCATTTTGTGAGCGATTTTTTGTGGAAGCTTTGGGGAACAGGTGCAGTTGCGAAACAAGCATAAAATGTTCTATAGCCCTGCGGCAACTGCACGCGGGCTTA